GTTGTTCTGTTCTTGTGTGCAGGTATATTGAACAGAAGAATCAATGAACCCGAGCAATATGTTCCCCTCCTCGCAGAACCTTTATTGGAATAATGGGCCGAGCTACGGTTCGTGGGAGTATGACCAAGCATGTGCCTATTCTTACGAGCAATCGTGGTATCTATTACCGTTCGAGCAATCATATGAGTCCCCCGTAGACTCCTCTGATGATGACGCTAAGCTCGATAGGATTCTCGATTTTATGGCCTCCCAAGCAACCCGGACGAAAATTCTTGAGGCCGAAGTCGAGAACCTAGCGGAACGAATTCAAGTCTTGGAGGATCGAGCTTACAATTTTTTTTCCCGATTCCCTCATGCAAAATGAACTTCGGGGGAACACTTTGACTGATGATGAAAAGTTCGATCTCATTCTTGCTCGTATGACGGCCCAAACATCTCGACTAGAGAAAATGGAGCTTGAATGCACTCGGTTGGTGGCGAAGCTTGACGACATAGAACGCGCTCAGTCCGTCAAGATTGAATGCAGAATCCACGTGGACGAGACTGAAAGATGAGGAGGATGCACTCCCGAAGATTGAGGATGATATAGTGAAAGAGGAAACTCATGTTCCCGAATTCGAAAGTCCCTCACTCGAGTCATCTCTCCTCACAGTCGAGAAGGCCCCATTTAGCTCAACATGTTCCACGGACATTCTCGTGCTTCGGGAGGATGACTGTGGAATTTTGTCGAGAAGAGCAATGGGTCGTTTCGTTACCATCAGTGATGCGTACGCTCGGTTCCACAAGAACATTGCCACTCGAGCCTACTATATCCTTGGTCATGTCACCCTTCCCATGCTGCCGCTTCTCGAGAATACGAAAGCATGGCATGATCGACACTTCTTTTTAAACCCCGGTTGATTTGTACAGGTTTCGTCAAGCTAATGACGTTAAACAAGCGCTTGGGAGGCAACCCAAGTAATTTACTGCTTTCGTGTGTGTTTCATTTATGTTTTTATTTTATTTTATTTTATTTTTGAATAATGAGATTTTGTGGAGATTGGTTTTCTTGGCAGGATATATCGAGGATCGGTTGATCGGGGGCGGAAGGCTGGAACGTGAATGCTTATTTCCATCGAGGCTACTTCGGTTTGCACACTCTTTTCTTTTTCTTGTTTTAATTCCCAGTTTTTTTTTTGTTTTTATTTTCATTTACGTGTTGATGCAATGAGGACATTGCATTATTTTAAGTGTGGGGGAGTCGGCAACTCCGCCGTGGATTTTGCATGTTTATGTGGTAGGTTGTCGTGTTTTCGAGCATTTGGTATCGATGAATTATATGATTTGTCGATAAATGTTTGATGAAATTGAGAAGTTGTGATGACGGACGTATTTATCATTGCCTCGATATTTACTTGATTGCTTTAATTGACATTTATTTACCTTGTGAGGTTTTGATCCTTACTTTTCTTTCTTGAGAGATATTGGTTGTATTCTCGAATGATTAGAACTTGCCTTGAGTCTATTTGAAAAGAATTGGTTTAAGTCTGAAATTACGAAAATGATTGAGGCATTTTGTTGTTAGCTCGTTTTGCCTTGTTCTTAACCCTAAAAATACATTTTCCGCTAGTAGCCCGTTTGAACTTGAAGCCTTTTCTTGTAAGCCATATATATATATATATATATATATATATCTGATTGTTGACAGGTCTTGAGTTTCGATTGGTGAAGTGGTGATATTTTTGAACGAGGTAAAAATTGAGTTGCATTTTATTGCTTGACCAATATATAAAAAAAAAATAAAAAAAAAAAATATATAAAAATAAAAAAATAAAATACATGAGAGCTCGCAAGATGAATCGATTGGATTCTAATCCGCTTACTTGTTATTCATTTTAACGAGTAATGAGTAATGGGAAACCACCTTAGGACACTTGGATGACTTCCAATGTTTAAACCTAAGGAATATTGTCCTTACGATTCAAGCTTGTTCGGAAATAGTAACTCCCCAAATAAAAAAAAATTGTGTAATAATTCAAGCAATATTGCAATTCGATTGGAGCATATAGGTGTTGTTTGTGGAGACATTGGTGGACGGTATGGGCGAGTGGCGGACATTCGAGTATTCTATTACTCGAGAATTTTAATTGTGTATTTGAGCTTCTTGTCTATTTATATATCCTTACCTTTACCTACATCCCACATTACAACTCGATAAAATCCTCTTGATTCGAAAATTTCAAGCTTTGATTGATTCCGAGTAATTTAGACGATTGGCAAGCATATGTTGAAATGAGAATATCAACCAATTTTGAGCGAACTCATTACATATTCGAACAAGAAAATGAGTGAGGCATATATGATGACCTAAATGTTGAGAGTTTGTCATTTTAAGGCCAAGTCGATATTTGAGGCATATGGTCGTACGGTTGTTGGAATTCGACTCGATAGATTTAAATATTTTGAAGCACGTCTTATTTCAATCTGATACCTATGTTCGTATTTTGTTTTCTTTTCTCTTTGTTCGGCACGAACAAATGCTTAAGTGTGGGGGAGTTGTTGTAACCATTTTTGTTGCATTTTTTGCTATATTTTTGTTCTTCTTTTCCCCTCATTTTTCTTCATTTTAGGTTATTTCGTGAGTTTTTAGTTCGTTTTGTGTTTTATTACGTGTTTTGTTCTATTTTGGTTTTCTTTGTGTTTTTCGTGTGTTTTTTCAATTTTTCTTTGTTTTTGGTGTGCATGTCGGAAGTCTCGTGAGGAGTTGATTATAGACTGGGCAATCATGGTTATGTAGATGGACTCGTTGGCTACACATAGAAAAAAAAACGGAAGTTGATTTCGAGTTTGGATGAATCCGGACGGAACAAAAACGCGAAGCCGCGCAAGTTACCGACCCTTTAAAGGTTGAAAATTCCACATAATTTGTACTCTAGGCAAAAGTGTGGTTTGCAAGCATCATTGGACAGAGGGGTTCATTAGCTACGCGTAGGAAAAAACGGAATTCAATTCCGAGTTCGGACGAGCCCAAAACAAGCCCGAGAAGCAGAGCTGCCCGAGACGTGCGCATATGCGCGCGGAAAAATCACTTTCGGTTTTGGTCCGAAAATTCCATCTTTTATCTCAAATTTCCTATCTTCTTTCACCTTTTCTTCCATTCTTTCTTTGGTAGATGAATTGTGGTTGATTTTTAGTTAAATTGTGGTTATTGTTGGTAAATTGTGGTTGATGTTGGTGGATTATGGTTGATGATATATCTATAAATAGCTCCATCATCTAACCAACATCTATCCCTCACAATCCAAAA